GGGCCTTCATAGTTAGAATAGGGCTTCGGGATATATTCTATCATAGTTATAAAAAGGAACCCCGAAAATAGAATCCCTAAACCCTAAACCCCAGATAGTGTAGCTAATTATTAAGGCCCCTATATTAGGGCTTTGTGTCTCCAGTTGCGGGTCGACGAGTTTCGGGTTCGGGTTGTCGGGCTTCGGGTTTAGGGTTTAAGGTTTAGGGTTTAGGGTTTAGGGTTTGGGGCTTAGGGTTAGGATACTTCGTAACTTAGGTTTTAGGATTCAGGGTTAGGATGCTTAGCAACTTTGGGTTTAGGGTTCAGGGTTTAAGGGGCTTAGTAACTTAGGGTTTAGGGTTCAGGGTTAGGGGGGCTTAGTAACTTAGGGTTTAGGGTTCAGGGTTAGGGGACTTAGTAACTTAGGGTTTAGGGTTCAGGTTCAGGGGGCTTAGGTCTTGAGGGGTTTACGCGTTTAGGGTTTATGCTTCGCATGTCGCGTTTGTGACCATCAAGTTGCCGCAGTGGTTGTTAGGGTCTGGGGCTTGGGGCTCAAGCACTTCAGCGTTAAAGCTTAGGGCTTTATATAGAAGCCTTGGAGGGTGAGTAATCCTCCGGCGGTTCCTGCATTGTCCCTAAACCCTCAATGCTAAACCTAAACCCTAAACCCTACTTCGGGGGATTTAGGGGGGTTTAGGGGGGTTTAGGGTTGGGCGGTGTAGTGGCTCAGGAACTGCGGGGTTTAGGGTACGCGGCTTGGGGTTGTGTTGACGACGTGCGATGTAGGATCTGGGGTTTGGGGCTCCCGGCAAAAGGGGTATGTAGGATTTCGGATCTGTTGTCAAGGACTTCGGGTTTAGGGTGTAGGGTTTAGGGTTTAGGGTGTAGGGATTTTGGATCTGAAGATTGGGGATGCGAGGTTAGGGCTCAGGCTTTCAAGTCGTCTACTCTAGCCCACCGCACGCCAAGGAACTTCGTGTCGTGGAGCCACTGCTGAATGGTAGCGCGGTTCGAGCCCCTGGCAGAGTTTCGTGGGCTGCTGACAGATTGAGGAGTATTTGATCGTAGTAAGGGTCCCTAATGTAAGCATACTGCCTGGTGAATGGAATTGTTGGGTCTTTGGGTCTTGGATGTACTATCTTCCATGGGATACACAGAACTCAGAGCTCTGAACGGGCACTTTAAGGGATCAGGGTTTTCGGATATGATATATGATATGCAGCTTGGGGTCTAGGAGTGGGTGCTGCCGGGAAACCCTGAACCACCAAGTTCGGACAGAAACTCTGATTTCTGCTTGAAGGATCAGGGAACTTGGAAAAAGGCTAGCTGCATCCTCTTTTGCGACTAGTCTGCTAGAGTCTAGGGTCTGGGGGTCTTTGGCTGCTGACGTTCAGGCTGGGCCGCGTTCGAGGATCAGAATTCAGCGTCCAGGCTTTCAGGGTTTGGGTTCCTAACCCTAAACCCTAAACCCTAAACCCTAAACCCTAAACCCTAAACCCTAAACCCCTAAACCCTGAAACCTTTGGGTTTAGGGCTTGGGGATGTTGGGCGTTGGGATTGTCACTCGGTTGCACAAGTCGTTCTTCAAGGGTTGCATGCAGGTCTTCTGCGGTTTCACGCCGGCGTGGAACCCTAAACCCTAAACCCTAAACCCTAAACCCTAAACCCTAAACCCTAAACCCTAAACCCTAACCCAAAGTGAAGGATTCAGCCCAAGGTTTCCATCATGTAACCTCAGCTCTAATTGGGGGTTTCCTAATATAGTACCCCAAATAGTAGGATCCTTATGATAAGGACCCCAAAATAGGGTACCCCTTATCTTCGGAAACTCTACACCCTAAACCCTAAACCCTAAACCCCTTATCTTCGGAAACTCCCAATTAGCCCCAAAAGGCCCCCAACCGAGGCCTCCAGACACCGTGGGGGTAGCCCCCGGGGTTCTCGACCACTCCGATCCACTTGTGCCACAGGACCTGGGAAGATTTAGGGTTTAGGGTTTAGGGTTTAGGGTTTAGGGTTGGGCAGAGCTTTTTGAGGCTCTGAGGGGGGTGTTGAGGGTTTGCGAGGTTAAGGTCCTGGGCTTGCGGCACATAGGAGGCTCGCTTGGGCTTTTGCCCCTGCGATTTTGGGTTCGATGGTTTGGTGCAGGATGCCGGCACCGGTTCGATCTCCAGGTGCCCGAATATGAAATCGAAGCCGTAGGAAAGAAGCAAATCTGCCCCAAAGCAGCAGGTGATGACGATGATGAGGATGACGAAGACGAAGACGATGACGACAACGATGCTGATGATAATGACGACTATGATGACGATGACGATGATGATGATGATGGTGATGATGATGATGATGACGATGATGAAGTTTATGATCCAAGTAGCATTGGTTGTCATTGCTATCATCGGCCTTCGATCGTTCAATTGTTACCAGCTCCGAACTCAGGACTCCGAACCTCCAAAACCCGAACCTTAAACCCTGAACCCTACACCCTAAAGAGAGCCTAAACGCTAAGCCTAAACCTTAAACCCAAAACCTCACATCCAGAATCCCGATGCCGTGCAGGGCACCGCTTCGTAGCATGCTTCGCCGGCGACGGCGTTGCGACAAGTCCTCAGATTGAGTGGAAGTAGAGGGTTTGGGGCTTACAGAGCTTGTAGGATTCAAGGTTATATGGGGCTTAGGAGTCTCCTTTCAGGGCTCCAAACTCAAAGCCTAAACCCCAAATCCGAAAAATATACACCCTTATTTAAGGCTTGCTGTAGTGGCTCCTCTTCGGGCCCCTAAACCCTAAACCCTAAACCCTAAACCCACAACCTATCAAGGATGAGGAGGCCTGGTAAGTATGTTCCGGCTCGTTGAGTTTTGGGTTGAGCATTCAGACTTTAGGGAGTTCAAGGCTCGGAATTAAGGAATAGGGGCTAGGGTTTAGGGTTCAGGGTTCAGGGTTTAGGGTTTAGGGTTTAGGCTATCTAGGGTTTCAGAAGGGTTGCCAAGGGCTTCTTGAATAAACGAAACTTTCGGGGGGGGCCTTCGTAAGTACCTTCCAAGACGGTTGTAAATCGTAAGTAATATACCAGTACGGGCCTTAATAATTGGAATAGGGTTTCGGCGCCCATTATACTAAAGCTATAACAAGGAACCCCCAAAATAGTATGGGTAATTATTTTGGCCCCTAAATTACAGAAACCCCAGACTGACGACTTGCAACCCGATTTCTTACCTACTTACTAGGTCCTTACGAACCGCGAACTGAAAGGAAGGTGTTGCACCCTGAACTGTAAAGCCGTCTAAACCTAGAAACTCTTGTAGAAATCCTCATCCAACCCTCACTAAAGCCCCTGGATGCTCCCAGAATACTTTCAACAAGGCCCAAGTCGCGAGGCAGGCGCAACCGTGGCATTGCTGTGCGTTGCTGGCTTTGTGACGTTGCTGTGGGCCTTTGCGACCTGCGAAGGTCAGGGCGTGAGACAGGGGCCTTCATAATTCGATTTGTGTTTTGTCGGCACATGTCTAGGGTCTTAAAGTGATATTGATGGGGTGCTACAGGGCTTGTATTTCGGGGGCCTCCAAAATTAGAGTCTGGTTTGGGGTATAAACCCTAAACCCTAAACCTTAAACCCTAAACCCTAAACCCCTAAACCCGAAACCCTAAACCCTAAACCCTCAACCCTATAGTATGGGAGAATCAGCTAAAGTCTGCAGAGCTATCGGGGCTCCAGCTGCGGGGTCGTACACAAAACCCCTCGAACCGGAACTTCTAGGACCATAAAACCCTCGACTCGATACTTTTGGGGGCCTTTATAATCAGAAAGCGGTCTTGGGGTATATTATACTATAATTCTAATAAGGACCCCCCAAAATAGAATCCCTAAACCCTAAACCCAACTCTAAACCCTAAACCCTAGATAGTATAGGTAGTTATAAAGGCCCCCTATATTGCCTCGTCCTCGCGCTAGTTCTGCTACCGGCTTAGTGGGCTGTAAACCCGAATGACCAAAAGCCCCCTGCCCTAAATGTCTCGCTGTAGCGTTTAGCGTTTAGGGTTTAGGGTTTAGGGTTTAGGGTTTGGGGTTTGGGGTTTAGGGTTTAGGGTTTAGGGTTTGGGGGTCTAGGCTTCGGGAAAGCCTGCCAGCAACGTTGTGTCCGTGCTTACCACACACTACGAGCCCTTCGACATCCCCCGGGCATTCGCTTCGGTTTTTGATTGGTTAAGGGTTTTGGGTTTAGGGTTTAGGGTCGATTTGCAGAACAGTCTTGCACTTCGCTTATGTCGGACAACACCCAAAACCTGAAACCACAAAGCCCTAAATCCTAAAACCAAAACTACCAATCCTCTGTACAAACGCAACTGCACTCCTAAATCACGCTTGAAGGATCATGAGACGTAGACTTTATAACTAGGGTGCGAGCGCTAAGCCCCTAAACCCCTAAACCCTAAGCGTTAGGAGCTTTGCTGCCTTCCTTGAAGTCTTTGACCCTGTATCCCAAAACTCTAAACCTCTCGACCCCAAACCCTACAGCACTTCATGAAACAGATCTAGGCAGGACCCGTATAAGACCCTTGAAAACAAGCCCTGTATTCCCCAAACCCCAAAGCCTAAGCCTCAACCCCGGACTAAGCTTGAAGCAACTTGCGGAGGCTCAGGGCTCTCAAAAAACCTACACTAAGACAATTGCAAGGCTATGACCAAAAGAGACTCAAAGTTTAGGGCTTTGGATTTTTGGAGTTTAAAGTTTAGAGTTTTGGCCGCACGTGTTAGGTGTTGGGCTTTGGGGTGAAACTGCTTATGGCTTAGAGCTTGAAGGTTTTCCAGGCAGAGGGTTGTAGGTGTAAGGGTTTGAAGTCCTCTGGCTCAGGGCTTACGCCGCCCCCCAAAACCCTGAAACCGAAGACCCCAATGCTGAACCCCTAAACCCTTGACCTTGACACTAAACCCGAAACCCTAAACCCCTAATCACTAAACCCCAAGCTCCAGTATCTCCGAACCCTAAACCCTAAACCCAAACCCCAAACCCCAAACCATCCTTACCCTACTCTCATTTCAGGGCATCGCCCTTGGGTTTAGGGTTTAGGGTTTAGGGTTTAGAGTCTTGGGAGTCTCTGAAGAACCGAAACAACCGCCCTAAAGATAAATAAAGCAATCTCTATGCCGTAGCCTCAAACCTAAAATCCGCAAAACTGTAACCCTACCACACCCCCCTAAGATAAGCATGCCCCAGGCCACCTCGTGGCTACTAGCACGCAGCTGCTTCGCTGCTTTCTCCTGATCAGCCGGCTTCGGCCAATGTTCACAGCTTTGATATGCGCATCTTGGCTGTAAGCATTCTGTTGTTCAATACAATCGTTGATACCATTGTTAATTTCACTATGTCCTTTGATACCATTGTTAATTCACTATGTCCTTTACTCTCTGGTTGGGTAGCTGTTCATTCTGATGGTTTACTGTGCCATTCTGCTGTTGCACTTCTTACCTTGGTTTTTATGCGCGGTTTTTGTATTTTCATTGCAGGTACAAGCGCCGGGAGTAGGGCAAAGTCGTACTGCTTTGTGATCGCCGGCATGAGCCCCGAATCCCGATGCCTTCGGGTTTAGGGTTTAGGGTTTAGGGTTTAGGGTTTAGGGTTTAGGGTTTAGGGGTTAGGGTCAGAGCCAATCTAGAACCCTTATGGAACCCTTGTGGAGCCCTTGTAGAAGTCTTAAATCAGTCGTTCAACCGCAGGCTTGCACTACTTACTATAGTTATAAACAGGAACCCAAAAAATAGTATAGGTAATTCTTAAGACTCCCATATCAGTCTGCGTATCCTGGGCTAGCGTTGCACAACCTGAGATTCCGAAACTCTTACAGATTTAGGGTTGAGGGCTTAAGGTTTAGGGTTGAGGGCTTAAGGTTTAGGGTTGAGGGCTTGAGGTTTAGGTCGAGGGCTTAAGGTTAAGGTATAGAGTTTAGGGTTTAGGCTTGAGGGTTAGGGACAACCTGCGGCCGAAGGCCTACAGATTGACTTCTTGGTACCTTATTAAGGAGGTCCTTGTTCGAAGGAACCGTGTACTTAGGTACCCTAGGCTTCGGGGCCCCGTATGACCTCAGAACACGCCCAAACAGAAGATGACCTGTCACGGACCCTAAACCCCAAACCCTGGACCCTGGATCCTGAACTAGAAACCCCCAAAGCCCCAGCGCTCTAAACCCTAAACCCTAAACCCTAAAACCTTAACCCTAAACCCTAAACCCTAAACCCTAAAACCTTAACCCTAAACCCTAAACGACCGCGAAGCAAAACCATGGTCCCCCCTGCCTTGGCGACCAGCTGAAGCCAAGAACGCTCGTTTGAGCCCTGCGCAGTAGCGCTTACGGGGTTTAGGGTTTAGGG